TAATGTTACCAGTTGTTTATGCATTTTTAATTCAGCACCATGGACAGCACTGAGAATTGAGAATTTGTTTTAAAATGCTGCTTTTATGAACCAATAGTAGATGCTGAGTGTTTTCTCACTTAAAATGTTGTTTTCATTATGTCTTTAATACAAAACATACTATTTAGATATTATTATGGTTGTGTGTATCAATGATCATGTGACAGTAATTATCCAGAGTCAAGTCCTGCTCCTCCAGTCCCTATTCTTCACCCCCAACAAAAATCTTCTTCCTGCCCTTATTTTATAAAATCACATTCACATTTTTAAACAGCAGAAATGTATGTTGCCGGTGCTCTCTGTGCGGCAACTTTGCATTTTGTTAGTTTCAACTTTTATCCCCAGCTCCAGCTCCTCCTCATCTGTTCCTAACAGAACCATTTCCTGTCGAGGAGGCTCTTCAGTGGAGCCTCAGCTATTCTTCGCCGACACAAAGCTGCGTTCTCATTAACTCTTATCAAAGTTCATCTTGCATTCGAATGCTGTGTGCTGTGCTCAAGACTGAGGGCAGCGGGGAGGGAAAATGAAATAGACAATGGTAGCGGAGGAGACAGAGGTAAAAAAGGGGGTGGGAGGTGAAGGGAGGGGGGGAGAGGAAAGGAAATAATAGCAACAGAGGAGGAGCAGAATAATAATTACTGCGGTCCACTCCTGAACTAAACCTAAAGTTGGTTTGATGGACCACTGTATCAGACCGCAGTGATGGGAATGAGTCTTAAGAAAAGAATAAAAATTCTATACATTTACACATTTTTATATCTTGTTAATGTGAAATACACATCAAACTGCACTGAACCAACTAAGTGTCTCCTAAAGTGCTGTGAGCCGAGCTGAAATATTTTAGAGTCGAGTCGAGCTTACAGGCGGTCGTCAAGACATTTAAAGACACGGGAAGAAAAATGATGTGAGTTTATTTACAAATGTATATATATCCATCACCAAATTTAAAGTACTGGTAAGTCTGTCTTATAATTCTTTCAATGTGTTTGTGTTTGTTTGAGTTTGAAGACGTTCAACGTTCAATGACCACCAAGTGACTCAGAAGAATCAGTGAAAAGGATTTTCTTACTCAAACTCCACCTCATCCTCTCTGAATGGCTCGGAGTTATTTGCTTTCAGTCCAGTGTCAATAGAAAAACGCCTCCGCCGACGATCAGAAAACCTTCAAGGCAGTGATGAAAACAATTTGCCCCTGCATCTCGTAAACACACGATAAAAGCAGGTGGAGACAACAGCCAGCGCCGGTGCCGTTCTTACTTGATTAGTTTCAGCTGATTACAAATCACCCCCTCATTCTCTCTCTTTAAGAGCCATCGACAGTATGTCTCTTCATAAATACACGGTTAATCCTCGTCCTCCTCCCTCATCAGATCCTACAGTGCAGCTGGATTTCATCATGCAGACGTAAAGAGCCATAATTATGGACTGATTGCAGCCGTGCTGAGACAATCATGAGATTTTTTAACGCATAAGAGCGTTATTACTGTGAGGGAAAAAAATAAAGAGGGTCTGATGAGGGTTTTCATCTCTACCACATCATCTGATGAATGTGTATTTTTATTACGGTGGCTTCCAATCCATGGCATCGCCTGAGGCGATATTTCAGCTGGCTTATCCATCAGTGTCCGTTGAGGTCATTTGGGTCAAACAGGCACCAAGTGGGTATTGGTTTAAACAAGGGCAAATATTTGCACGGTTTAGTGAACGAAACCAAACTATAATTTTTGTCTTGGAATTTTTTTTTTACCAAGATTGGTACTGTCGAATCCATAGGAAGAAAATAAGATGTGGCTCTCGGGTGTAGCACATCCTTCTTACACATCTGCCTTACACGTAAGCAGGTCCTGGGTTTGAGTCCCAGAGGAAGCACACACTCCTGCCTCCCCCAAGGGGGGCAGATCTGCCGTGTAACACAACAGCTTCCCCAGGTTGGCATCACTAAAGTTCAAATTATTATTGTTAATTATTAACTAAGACGAGAGAAGGTATAAGAATCCAACTTAGTGGAATTTGTTTGAAAATTATGACCATTAACTAAAACAAACTTCTGCTTTAATGAAACCTGTTCTGTCTTGAACTTGTGAAGCACGTCCAGTTTTCAAGACTAGAATTAAAGACAGAGGTCAATATGTATCGTTATGCATTCGTGGCAAGAAGTAACCATTAATGAGTGTTTATTAAAATGAACGTCTGTTCAAGAAACGTATTAAAGACAGGGACAGTGCAGCAACACACCGGTACCTGTATATATGTGTGTGCGTGTTCAGCCTTGTACATGTGTGCTGAGAGGCATCTTTGAGCCTCTGGGATGCCACTGTTCTGTTGCTCCCTCTTTAATTGGCTGCTGCCCCCTCAGCCTCGCCTGAATGGAGAGTCATTTAGAGACCTTTCACTCTCACAGAGGATTGTCGCGTAGCGCTGCAGGAGAAATTACATTCCTGTTTCCATACAATGGCCGGCCGGAGTCGGACGGGGTGAGAGTATCACTGTCATTATCATGACAATGGGAGCTAATTCCACTGCCACCCGCTCCATTCTTAAGCCCACGCTGCACTAGCTTATCAGGGGGCACCATGAAAACGGCGAGGAGCGACGAGAGAGAGACAACGCCACGCCTTAGGTGAAGTTTACACACAGTCCCCACACACACACACACACACATAAACATGTCCAGGGCTCAGGAGAACGGGAATGTACCACAACAACAAAAAGTAAAGTTTACAAGTGTGAAGACATACAGTGGTTTAATATTCACAGAGAATTATTAGAAAAATCAAAGGGACGACTGGAACTAGGAAACACGATTATTATAGAAAACCTAAACAAGAGAAAGACTCAATTTTTTTACACTACAAATAGGAACAGATGAAAGTGTTCTGGCGCAGATTCTCAGAAGAGCTGTCAATAATGAGAGTGACTCCGCCTCTTAAACTGTTCATCCAATCATCATGCAGAAACTAAATTCTTCCACTTACATCTATTCTTTGTACATCTATGTAGTCCTGGCCCACTGAGGTAAGTTAAACACATCAGAGATACTGAAGCTAAGGCAACTAGCAACCTGTACCCGAGGCTAAGGTTGTGATTGTTTCGTTTTTTGTTTTTTGATTTTACCTAGCTATCGTTTATTCTTCACTTTTAAGAAGTCTTCTCAAAAACAGGTTTTAGAATCCAACGTATTCACGGTTGATTTCTGAAGAAGCCGCGATCAATAAAGGATTAGCAAACAACCAGCCACTTGTAACAATGCACTTAAGTGCAAACAAGCAAAGCTAAATATCTGCTGCCATCGCATTAGTCCGGATCAATGCAGTGGTGTGAATGGGACTGTGTGAGTGTGAATGTCACATAGTTGGAGTGTATTGACTGTTCCAAGAGTCTTGATGATTTTGAGTGCCATTGATTTGGACTGAGTGCCA